ATTTGACACCAAAAGCAAAGGCGACAAAAGTAAAAATTAAAAAGTGGGACTGTATCAAACTAAAAAACTTCTGCACAGCAAAGGAAACCATCAACAAAATGAAAAGGCAACCTACTGAATGGGAGAAAATATTTGCAAATCATATATCTGATAAAGCGTTAATATCCAAAATATATAAAGAACTCATACACATCAAGCAAAAGAGCAAACAATCTGATTAAAAAATGCACAGAGGTGGGGCCAGCCTAATGGTGTAGTGGTTACGTTCATGTGCTCTGCTTCAGAGGCCTGGGGTTCACAGGTTTGGATCCCAGGCACAGACCTACACACCACACTGCTCATCAAGCCATGCTATGGCGGCATCCCACATACAAAATAGAGGAAGATTGGCACAGATGTTAGCTCAGGGTTAATCTTCCTCAAGCAAAGAAAAAAAAAAGAAGACTGGCAGTAGATGTTAGCTCAGGGCCAATCTTCCTCACAAAACAAAGAGCAAAGGACGTGAATAGACATTTTTCCAAAGAAGAAATACAAATGGTCAACAGGTACATGAAAAGATGCTCAACATCACTAATCATCAGGGAAATGAAAATCAAAACCACAATGAGATATCACCTCACACCTGTTAGAATGGTTATTATCAAAAAGACAAGAAATAACAAGTGTTGGTGAGGGTGTGGAGAAAACAGAACCCTTGTGCACTGTTAGTGGGAATATAAATTGGTGCCACCACTATGGAAAACATTAATGGAGGTTCCTCAAAACATTAAAAATAGAACTGCCATAAGATCCAACAATTCCACTTTTGGGTATTTATCCAAAGAAAATGAAAACACTAATTCAAAAAGATATATGCGCCCCTGTTCACTGCAGCATTGTTTACATTTGCTAAGACATGGAACAACCTAAGTGTCCACTGATGAATAAATGGATAAATAAAATATGAGATATATATATATATACACACACACACAATGGAATCTTATACAGGTATATGGAATATACTTAGCCATAAAGAATGAAATCTTGACTCTGTAACACATGGATGGACCTTGGGGACATTATGCTTCATGAAATAAATCAGACAGAGAAAGACAAATACCATATGATCTCACTTATATGTGGAATCTAAAAAAAAGAAAAAAACCAAACCTGTACAGAGAACAGATTGGTAGTTGCCAGAGGCAGGGGGTTAGGGGTGGGCAAAATGGGTGAAGGGTCAAAAGGTACGATTCCCAGTTATGAAATTAGTCATGGGGATGTAATGTACAGCGTGGTGACTATGATAATACTGTATTGTATACAGGAAAGTTGTTAAGAGAGTAAATCTTAAAGTTTCTCATCACAAGGAAAAAAAGTTTTTGTAACCACGCATGGTAGCGGATGTCAATTAGACTTGTGGTGATCGTTTTGCAATGTATGCATAGATCGAATCATGACATTGTACACCTAAAACTGATATAACACATACCTCAATTTAAAAAACTGCCTTTCGTGGATGCTGCTATTCCCTTCACCAAGGCACTTCTCAAGGCCTTAGGAGAGGGTCACTGACATGTCCTCTTGGGAGACTTAGGGGAGCATTCGGATGAAGAGGTCAGGTTGCACATAGCAAATCCACTGCAATATCCTCATCTTTGTAAATCTTTGAATTCCTTTATACAAATTCAAGGAATGCTTGCGTTCTCAATTTCCTTTAATGTGGCCCATTATTAAGTCTACATTTTAGTCAACTCACAGAACCAACAAGTGGAACCACTTTCAGCGGCTCATGGCAGCACACTGAACCAGGCTCTGTGGGGAGTGCACCCCTATCAGTCAATTCTACCCAATCCGAAATTACCACCTCCCCCCTCAGTACTACACCTTCAGAATCCCATACGTTCTTCCTCAGGATTTGCCAATATAAATGAGCCAAGTCTAGACGTCTTTTGGTGAGAGTCTTCTCCTGGGTTTGCCTTTTCAATTGTGTCCACCACAGCCCCTCTCCATGCTGGAATCTGACCGTATGTGTATGGAGATAACGAGAAGCGATGTGGGCGGAGCAGGAGGTGAACTGAGCGAGGTCATTAGAGGACCCTGGAGCCAGGCAGTAACAACCTCGTCAGACAGGAAGAGCTGCTGCTTTGCTTAGCAAGGGCGGACCTGTCAACTGTTCTGGTTGCCTGTGGTTGAGGGGTTTCCTGGGACACAGGACTCAGTACTCAAACCTGAGCTACTGTTCACTCCAGTTTTAGGTATCACAAGTCCTCCAAATCCCCCTTGCCACAGATCCCACCTCAAATCAAGGTCCTACAGCTTCCTGGTCAACACTCTTAACTTTTACCTAAGAGGCCTGGGGAGGCTGTGGAGGCAGCTCCTGGCATGGCTGGGCAGCCAGCAGCATCAAGTATGGCCTTGGTTTTCAGTTATTTCAGCCTTACAGCAGTAAGAGAGAAGAGATCCTTTTAGCAAAAAACACAGGCATTTTTCTAGTTTTTATGCCGTGCTGTGAGCTGAAAGCTTAAGCCTTTGAGCCTAAATGATCTCTCTCTTTACGAATCCATCTCTGGAGAAGCAACCATCCTATCCCCAAGTCCTGGATTTCTTCACCCTTTACATGCTTTTGTGGCAGCAGCCATTTATCAGCCAGGACCTTAGATTACACATTCCATCGATTTTTTTTCCCTCATGTTTGTGTTTTTGAGGTCCCAAAGATATTTTGCTACATTAATTTTTATTAATTATATTTTTGCCATTCATATTTATGTCTTTAATCCATCTGAAGTTACCTTCCTATAGAGTATGAGGTAGGATTGCAGTTTCGTTTCCTCCATGTGGTAGGCCAGTGTTCCCAATCCTCTTACTAACCCTCTATTCTTTATCTGTTGATTTTTGTCCTACCTCCGTAACTCACCTACTCAGGGGGTCTGTCTGTGGGCTTCCTGTTCTATTCCATTGTTCTATATGTTCTCATGATATGGATATGCAAATATCTGGATTCTGGAGGCTTAGTATGAACAAATAAGACAAAGTATCTCATTAATAATTTTTATATTGATTACATGTTGCAATGACAATATTCTGGATATGTTGGTTTAAATAAAATACATTATTAATATGAATTCCACTCATTTCTTCTTTTTATGAGGCCACTAGAAACTACATATATGGCTCACTTTTTTTTCTATTGGAGATTGCTGTTCCAGATGGTACTCTTGTGAGAAGAGAATAGACTATGAAGAAAGATAAATGGATTTAGAGCCCACTTCCTTCACTTATTAGCTCTGTGGACTTGGCAAGTCACTTAAAATATCTACTTCAGGGGCTGTCCCCACGGCGTAGTGGTTAAGTTCTGTGTACTCTGCTTCGGTGGTCTGGGTTCGTAGGTTCAGATCCCAGGCATGGACCTACACCACTCATCAGCCATGCTGTGGCAGTGACCCACATATAAAGTGGAAGAAGACTGGCACAGATGTTAGCTCAGGGCTAATCTTCCTCAAGAAAAAAATGAGGAAGATTGGAAACAGATGTTAGCTCAGGGCTAATCTTCCTCAGGGAAAAAAACATCTACTTCACAAGGGAATTGTTGGGACTACAATAAATAAGATAATGTATATAGAACATATGATACCCAGTAAGTAATCATCCAGTCTTGTTTCATTATCTTTCTCTGAGGACGAAGAAGTGGTTCATTCATCATAGTATACAGCAAATATGACTACACATGTATTAAATGCATGAAGCTCATCCTGCAATTAGATATCAGAATATTTTTTAAATTCATAATACTCTGTCATATGATAAGAAGACCCAGCATTATCATTTTAAAATGTAATGATATTTTAAGAGAAAAAAGACAATTATTTCATAATCTTATTCATTTACTTTTTCTATGCTTTAAAAAACTTTGCACAGGTAAATACGTTTAGTTAGAGCTACAAGACAACATGGAAACAGATAAGAAATAGGTGTTCTGGGTCTTTTCGAAATAACTATCTTGAGGAAAGCCTTGACTAAATGTTACCTTCAGAAATAGCCCCACCCCTTCTACTCACACCAGAAACAATTTGTGGAACCCTCAACTGTCAATAAAATCGTTTTACAGTATAGTTTATCTTGAACATCTTCTTATACTTTTGAAAAAGCATTATTGCAAAAATAGAAAATTCTCCAAATAATTCTCCAAATAAACAGCAAATGTTATCGCATCTGAGCTTAAGAATTTAAAATTGGTTCCAGTGATTCAATTATTAATTTCTAAAGAAAAATTTGAAATTAATACTAATTTCAGGGCTGTAACTACTAATGGTAGTTAGAACATTTTAATATCTGATGTAAAGATAATTTTGGAAATTGAGGAAGTGGTTACAAAACTTTTTCAAAATTCGGAGGCGAGTGAGTTTATCGTAACACAGTGAGCTCTTAATGACCTGAGCCGATCAAGGGGGCATTAGGGCAGTCCCTCGAGTGGGAACCCAGCTTGTCTGGGAACCACGCTCTTGCTGCTGTCTCTGTGGATCTTTGCCTCAAGAGGTCAACCCTGCAGGCAGCCCTTTCTCCAGGAGCTCACCTACTCTCCTCTCAGCCCTGCCCACTGCTCAGGATGTGCCGAACTGAAGGCACCAACCTCACAACAGGGCTGCGGTCCACAAAGGCCTGGCCCCAAAGAATGGAGCTGAAGGATATGACAGCCCGCCAGGGGGAAAGAAAGGCGCTTTTAGAAGGGATTTATGACTGAGGACCAAAGTGATAAGAGATGTAACAATGGTGAACGAACAGTAAAATCTATAGCTGCACAAGGCATTGGAACAGCAATGATCTTTCTTAGAAATGTTAGAACTCAGCTGCACAAAAGGAACAAATATAATCTAGGATTTGATTGAAAATACCTGAGAAGTTATTTTTCTCTAGGCAACAAAGTGTTGTTTCCATTTCTAGCAAAAGTTCATCTATGCCTAATTTCATTTCTATCTTTATTTTTAAAAAGTAGACTTTTAACAAAACAGACAACAAAAGAATTAGGGGTTTTAATGTTGATCATATCAATTTATTACTAATTTTGGTCTTCCCATTAGTTTCATAGAAAAACAACGAGTTTCTCAGTAGTTGGTACAAGTAGCTTTTAAATAGAACTTGGGCAAAATAATTAAGATAGAAACCATAAATAACCAGAAAGTAAATGAAGCAAAATTGTCTACTGAGAAGTTCACCCTGAAGTATATTAATATTTTTCCATAAATCTTTAGATTGTTAAAGTAAAATTATCCTAGTCTAGTATATTATGAATCATTATAAAAGATTCCAGTCTTTAAAAATTATGAAAGACTTCAAGATCTCCTTATGGAGTTAAGAAATGTCAGCTATTATGCTACTGGTCAAGTTTGGTCTGTATTTTCTGGGCCTCTTCAGGCCAAGAATAGCAATCAGGAAGAATCTGGTCATAATCAGCGCTATACATCTGCGAGCGGACAAATGCTTCCTTGTTTGGGGGCTCAGGATAAACTGTGGCTGTCCTTTCTTGGTATGCATCTTTCACAATCTAGAAATAAGAAAAGAATATTATTTCAATAAATTGAGATGATGGTGAGCACACAGAAGTTTTTATCTGTTTCAAAAAATTAATTCATAATTTACATCTTGTCTATTTCCAAAAAAATAAAGTTGTATTATAATAAAAGCACTCATACACAAAGAAGATATAAAATGAAAATGCAATTGTAGATCATACAGGAAGAGGAGAATTTGATATCAGCAACAAAGGAAAGAGGGACTTGTAGAGATTTATTCAGATGTCTTCATAACAGGATTTCTCAGATAAGCCAGTGGCAAAAATCTTGAAATGACTTCACTGATAGTTAACTTGAACTAAACACCTTAATATTCCTGTGAAGTTTGAACTTGGATACCTTGTAGTTTCAACGATGCCTGTTCTGACCACAGCCTCCTAAAAATCCCTGTTTATCCCAGGGTCTCCTGACCTGCTTGCCTCATCAGTGGGACCCCAGCGGCAGGCTCACGGCTCTGGCCAGTATCACACAGTCTCGTCTCCATTTCTTTGCATCCCACTCAGCATCCTAGCCCTGGTCTGGAAAACCCTCAGTGCCAGCTTTCTCTGTTCATGGCTGTCTCCTGCGATGCCACACTTTTCCTAACCTTACTTGGGCCACTGTGGCTGCACATTATGCTTTTATCCTTGTTTAAAAAAAAAAAAAAACTTTCCCTCATAGTTCCCACAAGCCAATGTTAAACTTTCCCCTGTCACCTCCATTTGAGGCTCCGCACTCTAGTAAGAAAATTCCAACTAATCAGAGAAAATGGTCTCAATTCCCTTTTCATCAGCTCAGACTATCTCCTCTATATCGTCAAACATTCTCTCTTTTCCTATTTTCTTGAAGAAAAATGAATTCTCCCTCTTGTCAAAATTAATCACTCCAGAAGTGCTCTTGAATTCACTCCAGTTTTAAAAAAGCAATCACTGAAGAGCTATTTGTATGAGAGACTTATCTGGATAATACTGCTTTTGAAGAATATTAGAATGATTGAGTTTCTATTCTCAATGTAAAATTACGCATTTATGAAAAAGTACGGTTATAAAGACTGTGCCATATTATGGAGAAATGTTTATGAAAAAAGCAGGAAACAAAAGCATGATGTACTATTATACATTATTATAATGATGTTAGAAAAGAAAGCAAACAAAAACAAAGACCGAAAGCAAACAGTCAAAATGATAATCACACTGTGAAACAAGAGTATCAGGTATTTTCCTCGCCTCTATTTTCCATACTGCTTATAATGTATTACTATTTTTTAACAGCTTTTTTTGAGGAATAATTCACTGACCACAAAATTCAACAATTTTAAGTATACAATTTAATTATTTTTGTAAATTTACAGAGTTGTGCAACTGTTAGCACATCCAGTTCCAGAATATTTCCATCACCCCAAAAAGATCCTGGGCCTGCTTGCAATGGCTCGATCACTTTTATAATACAACGTGTTGCTTCTTCCCTGACACGGGCGATGTGGAAGTTCATTCCTCATTCTGCTCCCAGGACACACGACGTGCATAATCCTCTCTCTCAATGAAATCTCCACTCTCTCCTTCTTGTCAATGCCACGCTCCCGGGAAGAGTGGAGTACATTGTGTTGCTTTCCTAACTCTCCCTGGACTTCTTAACTCTTGTACTACTGAAATTGCTTTTGTAAAAGTTTCTGATAACTTCCTAAGTACTAAATAAAAGACTTCACCTGTTTTTCTCACTGGGATTTGGTTCTATTAATCACAACTTCCACCCCATCCTGAAATTGTCTCCTTTCTCATTCCTGACATGCTGCTTACTTCTTAGTCTCTTCTTAAAATCCTGATCACGTCCCTTCCTGACTGGCTTCTTTCTTCTGTCTTCTAGACAGAATAATAAACGATGTTCTATCGTCAGTTTCCTTCCTTTCTACACTTGTTCTCCTGGTACTCCCAACCACTCCTGGAGCTTCACCTCTTGACGCACACAGACGATTTCCACATCTTTATATCTAGCCCTAAGTTTCGGTCACTTCCATTTACATCGTAGATGGTGCATTTGAATGCGCCATTGATACCTCAAACGTGCAGTCCACTTAAATCATCTTCCTCCCTGAAGTAGATTCTTTGTCCTGATTTCCTGGTTTCTGTCTATGCACTCAGCATTCTTTCATTATTTTAAGTGTAATATCTGAGTCTTCTGCGCTCCCCTGCTGTCCTGCTCTCTTACTTTCTCTAATCATATGCTAACTCCTTTTTCTTTAAATCTTCAAAATGAACTTAAGATGATAATGTGCTATTCAGTGCATTAATAATTCAAACTAATTACAAACTAGTAGATACAAATTAGGAGAAAATACAAGCATACTCTTTCATAAATAATCAAACATTATCTAAAGTCTTTTTTTGAAGTATTATTTGGTTTTTGAAGCATCTACCATCAACCAACAAGATAAATAATGACATATAAATCCTAAATGGTGTTGTTTTGATAAACTTGCTAATAGCTTTGATTTTCAACCAGGAACAATTTTGTCTCTGAGAGGACACTTGGCAATGTCTGGGGACATTTTTGGTTGTCACAACTGTGCAGAGGCTCCTGGCATCTAATGGATAAAGGTCAGGGATGCTGCTAAACATCCTACAATGCCCAGGACAGCCCTCACAACAAAGAGTTATCCGGCCAAAATGTGCACAGCACTGAGGTTGAGAAACCCTGCTTTAAATGTATAACTACTTTTATGGGCTGACCTGTATCACGCCAAAACTGTTGAAGCCTCAACTCCCAGTGCCCCAGAGTGTGACTGTGTTTGGAGACCGGGCCTTTAAAGAGGTAATTAAGTTAAAATGAGGCTGATCAGGTGGGCCCTAACCCAAGCTGGTTCGTGTTCTCATAAGAAGCATAAATTTGGACACTCACAGAGACACCAGGGAAGTGCACGCACAGAGGAAAGACCACTTGGGGAGAGAGTGAGAAAGTGGCCATCCACAAGCCAAGGAGAGACGCCCTGGAAGAAAGCAGACCTGATGACCCTTTAATCTTAGGTTTCTAGCACCCAGAACTGTGAGAAAATAAACGTCCGCAGCTTAAGCCCCCCAGTCTGTGGTATTTTGTTACGTCAGCCCTAGCAAACTAATACAACTATATTGCCAAAAAGTCCATCTCTCTCTCACCTTAGTTACAGAAAATTTCCCTGCCTTTAGGTTTTTCTCGGCTAATTCCTTCAACAGCTCATCTGCCACCCCAACAGCCTGGAGTTCTTCGCCCTCGTTGTTTTGCCTCCTGCAGCATCTTCAACTGTGATCTTTAGGATGCTGTACATCATGGAGACAGGGACGAGGCAGGTGGTTCAAGGTCTACATGTCACTCTACTATACCTGTGATATTTTGGCCACTATCACAAGTGTGATATGGAAAGCACTAACTAAAAAGAGGTGATGTGGAAGAAACCCAGCTGAAAGGAAACCCTAAGGAATTATGTAGATTATGAGAGAGAAAAAGCATGACAGGGAAATGAATGATTCAACCCAATTGTTCCATTCCTAAGGAGCTAACAGATTTCCAAAGCTCTGCTGAGGCACCAGGCCTCATTTCTCTAACTTCCGACATAATAAGTTGATACAGATATTTCAAGGAAGTGGATTATTAATACCTAAAAATGCATACTTAGCAGCAGAAGGAAGGAAAAATAATGAGGTTTGAAAAAGAGTGGTTTTACCTTTTCTGCGATTTTCAGAGAAACATCTCTGATGGTGTTCAAAGGAGGATAAAGCCGGCCCTCTTCCAAGTGCTTATCTGACACCTGCTGAGCTATAACCTTAAAAAGAGAAAGACAAAAATGTTTATGCTTCACACAGTACAATGGGTGGTTATGAGGATCCCTCAGGGAGCAGTCACCTACAGAAGCCGATCACATTAATGTGACCATCCACTTTCATGTCTCCTCTTATCAATGGAGAAACCGAGCCCAGAGAGGTTTGGTGAACGCTGGGGTCACACAATTAGTGAAAAAGATGGGGACAGAATCCAGGTTTCCTCTTAATCCAGTTCCTTTTCTACTGTACCATGAAATGCTGGCAGCTCTCTCATTTGATACACTGGAGGAACAGGGAAAGAGGAGTAGGGAAGGAAGAGGGGGATGGCAGAAGTGATGGAGAAGGATCCCGAATGGAGAGGAGGGAAGGCGTGCCAGGCTGGTGATGCCGTTCCACCCAGCTCACAGGCTCCTGCGCAGGAGGCAGGGCAGGAGGCTGAGAAAGCCATTTCAGAGTCACATTGCAAGTAGGGTTTTCATTTCCTTTTTCTAGTGGTATTGATAAACAAGTGACGTACATCACTGTGTAAGTTTAAGGTGTACAGCATGTTGGTTTGATTTACAGATATTGTAAAACGATTACCACAGTAGGTTAAACTAACATCATCTTCTCACACAGATACAAGAAAAAGAGAAGAATGAAAAAAGGAAAAAAATTTCTCCTTGTGATGAGAACTCTTGGGATTTTGTCTCTTAACAACTTTCCTCCCTATCATACAGCAGCGTTAACTATGGTCACCATGCCGTACATTACATACCTAGTACTCATTTACCTTGTAACTGGAAATTTGTACCTTTTGAGGATTTTAATTTTACACAGATTCTGGGCTGAGTCACCTAACTAGCCTCACCATTTGCTGTCCTCAACCATTCTCTATTTCTAATTCGAACGGTACTTAAGTTCAAGCATACCTCAAAATTTGCTAAGAGGGTAGATCTTATATTAAGTATCTTACCAAACACACACACACACAAATACACAAAATCATAAAATAAGGTAGCCAAAAATTTGGGGAGGTGATAGATTTGTTTATGGCACAGATTGTGGTGATAGTTTCACAGATGTATAATTATCTCAAAAGTCATCAAATTGTACAATTAAATATGTACAGCTTTCTGTATGTCAATGAAACCTTAATAAAGTGGCTTTAAAAAATGAGACAAACTGACATGAGAGAGCCAGATTTTGGACTTTGCCACAGAGGGTTTTATGGCCTGAAATAGTGGAAAGTTAATAAGAGAGATGCTTGCTCTTTTCCCTACGCTTCCTTCCCATTTCTAACGCATTTCAGGAGGTAGCCTTGATGAGAAGGGGCAGAAGGTTCTCCAGAGCCTTTCCCCCAACCATCAAGGTGCTGGTGTCGGAGTAGGAAGAGTCACAGAGCAGACGGCTCTCCCCGACCTGTACTGAGGACTCTTATCCTGCAGGAAGAAGAGATGATATTTGAATTGGATGCAAATTTTGAACTGGAGAGATATTTCATTATTCTCCACTGACATATCCCCAGCACCTAGAATAATGCCTAGCACATGGCAGATACTTAATTAGTACTTGTTAAAAGAATGCGTGAATTCAAAATGAACTGAAAGTTACTGAGATGCTATTAAGAGAAAGAAAAGGGAGATTTGATGGAGAATTATTTAAAACAGTGATTGAGACAAAATAAAACCATTTTATGTTAATTTTCCATTGAATTTAGGCCACTTAAAAAATCTTGTTACTCCTTGTTGTTCTGCAAAGGATTTGTGGCAGATTTAAATCAGCTGGCGTTTCTTAGATGTTAAAGCAAAAACTCTTATGGATAGCTGGTATTGTTATTTAACTGGATGAGAAGAAAGGAGCAGCACAGTCTCAAAAAGATGTAACAGTATGGTGGCTGAGAGCTCAGGCTCTGACGTGAGGTGGTACACATTCAAATTCCGATGGCACCCATTACTATTTGTTTGAATTTTGGCAAATTAATTAACCTTTCTAAGCCTAGTTTTCTCTTTGGTGATGCAAGACTACTAACAGTTCCTAATTCATAGGATTAAATGAAATGAGTGCCAGTAAAGAATTAACCACACTGTCTGAGAAAATAAGTGTTCGATAAATCTTAGCTATTTCATTTTGAAAAGAACAGGTAGGCAGCCAGCATGGAGAGTGGGAGTAAAATAGCTTTTTGGGTCACATCCAGCTCTACAATGTATTAGCTTATTAGCTATTTGATTTGGAGGCACATTACATAACCAATCAATTTCAAGTTTTTAAAATTTTGTGTATGAGATAATACGTATATTGCTCCAATCATATTGGCACGTTGCTGGTATCCAACATCATTGTTTTTTCTCTAGTCATTTTAAAGAGACTGAAGATAGTCAGAAGATGGCTGAGTAAAGAGGAATCAGTCTGAATCTTTGCTCTCCACGTATGCCTGTCATGCAGAGAGGGAGCCAAGAAAGGGTGGAACAAAGCCAAGTAGCAAACAGGTGACCACAGGGAGCCTACTGTTAGACTGATCCTGAGGGAAAAAGGAGAGATTATACAGGAGTCTTACTCTCACTCTCACGGACTGGCTCATTCGCTCAGAAGCTATTTGCTCCTTCTGATATACCATCGGTATATCTCTCTCTAACTACATCATGGCTGCTTCCAAATACGCTCTCTTTGCTTCATTTTGACAATGTTACGGCAGCTGGATTTTCAGTTATCTAGTGACTTAAATGAGTCAAACCTTCCTCCAGATGCTGCTGTCAGTGCTGATCACCTCCAGGTCCTCTGGGCGGATATCAGAAAGGGATGGGGCGAGGCAGAGGAGATGACACAAAGCAGGTGATTCTCGAGGAGAGGTGTGATGGGAGGCCAGGGTTTGCCTCCCAGATGTGGACAGGTGGAGTCTGCTCCCAGGCTGCTGTACAGACCACACGGGGTCAGGAGGGCTGACCCATCAGAGGTCCAGAAGACTGCCCAGAGTACCAGGAAAGCCAAATATCTCTTTGTGACATAAAAATGTCCATGAATAGTCTTCTTGTGGATTGGGACCAATCCACAAGATTTCTAGTTCCACAAGAGATCCAACTAGTATTTTGACAATAATCCTAAAAGTTATTAAATTTGGGGTTGCCAAACAAAACAATCTACCTAGATCTCTCACATGTTACTTTTATTAACCGTAAAATATAATCTAGACAAGATTTCTTCCGTTTGGGGCCTTCTAGCAGTGAGTGTCTATGGTATTGTATTTATTCTCCTTGCTAAGGTATATGACTAGCTCTATTTAATTCAATTCAATAAGTATTATTAAGTTTCTGTTATGTGCTTTAGTACTGTGCTAGGTGCTACTGGTGTTTTTGAAAGAAGTACATGGAAGATGCTCTGTCTTTAAAGAAGATAATTTACAATTTAATTATAAGGTAACACTTAATTGTTTGAAACATAAAGCTCTCAAGAGCAAAATACAACTAGTAATAAAATTAAATGTCAAAGTGTTTGATAAAGACAGCCATGGCGTAGGAGAAAGATCGAGATGAGTCAGAGTAGAAAAGGATTCAAGGACAAGGTGGGACTTGAGCTGTGACCTGAAGGATAGGCTTAGATAAGCAGAGAATAATTCCCAGAGTTTTCCAGGCAGGATAATAGAGCAGTTACGTGCATATGCATGTGTGTTACAAGGCTTCGGGATGACGGAAAATGAAAAGCTCAGGCTTCGAAGCTTTGGTGCGTGCTTGGAAAGAGGATTACTAGTAGAAACGGGAATGCTGAAGGTGAGGGAAGCTGAGAAGTATGGTTTTACATATCTTGTGTTTAAGGAAACATCAGGGCATTTCTGTGGAAATATGCATCAAATAACTGGAGATATAGTAAAAGATGAGAATAGAGATACACAGATTTGGCCACTGCTAGAATGAAGATAATGGAAACAAGAGAATGGATGAGATCTCTGAAAGCATTAAAAAATGGAAGAAAAAGCAAGGACCAAAAAATGAACGCTAGAAAAAAGCTCTTAGTTACAAGGGGGGACATGAAAAGGAGACAAAGAAAGCAATGAGATGGTATGAAAAACAGGAACGTTGTATTGAAGCAGAAGAGAAAAGGAGTGGAAAGGCAAAAGATCTAGCCAGAGAGATCACTAGCTAGATAAGAAAAATCACATTTTATTTTTTTTCTTCAAAGCTTTTTGGTCATGAGTATTACTTTTCCTGGTAGTAAGTGGAAAGTTTTTCTCATGAAATCTGTCACTAGATGGTGCTGGAGTTATTTAGGAAAGAAAACACCGGCTACCACAAGTAAAAGATCAGTCTTTTTCTTCTTATGTCTCTGCTATAAAAGACAATGGTTACACTTTCCTTAATGTAAGAACTTTGAAAAGCTCTCAGTAATTAGACATCTACTTATGTTTAACAAAGTTTTTTCAAGTTAAAGAAACTCAGACATCAGCTGTCATGCTTTTAACACAGCGAGGGGAAAGAAAAGAGGAGAACATAGTTTCCAGGCATCTGTTCCCACAGAATGACACCAAGTGTTAACACTGGGTTACACTCCTTTAGATCACACCAACAGCGTAAGAATCTTTGTCTATGTTCTTAGAGTTCCTCTTCACAATGGGAAGAATAACATGTTTGCATGATGAAATATTGGAATATTAATTTTCACATGGTTCAGTTCAGTTATAATGTTGTACAGTAGTTTAACTTTAAGAGAAGAAATTCACTCCAATTTCTCATTCATGAATTGCATCCTCTTCAAACATGCTACTAACCAGACGAACATTCTGATTACCAAAAGCTTATGACTTCATAAATATATGTCCACTCACTGTATCACCCCCCTGAGGCTTAGCAGGCAAGGGGAACTGACCGGAACCTGAAGTTCATGGCACCTCTTGTGCCATGAGTAATAAAGTCCTCTGTCTCTGACCTAAAAGTCTTATGTCTTCTGCCAGCATCTATGAAACTGCGGCAGGCTAACTGGTTAGCTTGCAAGTAGGGTAAAACTTCAGATCCTTCACAGTTCTTAACAGCACCAGCATCCCTAGTGGGTCTGCTCTGTCCTGTTCTGAGACTCTTTCCTGCGGGCTCACACTAGAGCTCACTTCTGTCCTTTTAATGACTTTATAAACACTAATTCCCTGTCTTAATTTCTTTTCTGTTTAAAATACCGGAGCAGTTTCTGTTTTCTGCACTGAACCCTGAATGATAAATACTGCTTCGCTATACCAAATCCAACTTTCATTCTAAATCTTCAAAATGCCATTATTTAGGAAGGTTCTCAATGGACAAATATTTATCACTTAATCCATGATTTGGAAACAAAATTTTTAATTGTCTCATTCCCATCACAGAATTTGATTGGAAGTGTGAAGATTAAAAAAAAAGAGTTCCTTTTAAGAAATCAGAATGCAACTTTTCTGCTGGATGCTGAAGAACCGTCTCCTACTAGTGACGCAATACAAGCCTGCTACCCACCCCTCGTTATCCACTGAGAAGGAGTTTCTCTTCTTTGGACTTTATACCTTCTAGGGAGTGAACTGAGAGGCTAGATAAATACAACATTAGACAACCTACACTAAGCTCATTTGGTATTTTAGAGCTTTGGTGAACTTAAGAGTATTTTACAATACCTCAGCAGTAGTGAGAAAAATCTTATCCGTGATATGCCTCAATCCACATGCTACAACACCAAGAGCAACTCCAGGAAACACGTAGGAATTGTTGCCTTGGCCAGGATATAGGGTCTGTCCACTTGGAAGAGTGACTGGATCGAAAGGACTGCCACTGGCAAAAATTGCACGCCCCTACAACACAGACACACAACTTTAAAAAGAAGCAAGAAATCTTAAAACAAATGCATCATAATAGAACCACCCCATAGTTAAAGTAAAGAGTATTTAGAAAGAAGCTAATTTTTCATTAACTCTCAAATAAGTCTGAGCAAGCTTTTATGCTGTCGGCAATGAGCTCCGGAGTGGGTGATTATTACTGCTCTCTGTCTTACTCTCTACTCCTACGAGAAGTGTGCAAAGCCCATGATACCTGAAGACCACCACTCTGTTCTCTGCAGTGGTCCAACCCATAGGCCTATCAACCATTTCTACATAGGCTTCCAATTATAGACTTCTGAAAATAAAAATGATAGGTTATTATTAGAGTATAGGAAAGAATGACATTTTAGGTTAGAGTTTGGGGATCAACACAATTCAATGTAACTGTTGGGACAAATTTTATATATTTCTATATTGTAAAGAATTAAATGGAAAATATATGGGAAACAAACTCATTAGCACCAGTAGGATTAACAGGAAGATTAAATTATCAATAATTGTCAAAAATCATGTTTATTTTTTTCCTAATCTTCATATTTTGTCATAATGTTTTTGAGGAACCTCACGTATTACATGCTTTAAGATGGCATTAACTTAGGGCCTGTTCGCTGCTGTGTTCCATCCTGCTGATCAAAAGGGGCACGTCTGTGTGATCTGAGGGTGAGAGTGCAGAGGCACGAGAGCGTTCAGCCTCTAAAACAGGAATAGGAAACTCTCAACAAATAAAGCATCACAACCGAAAAAATGCATCTGAAAAGCCGAACGCACCAAACCCCCAAGCACAGTTGAAATGATGATATACTGGGTTATAACTTTCATCTCTCGTACATCTAGAGTCTAAATCCATTATGATATTAATAATATTAACTTATTCACTTTTGTAAGATGCCACAACGTGTATTTTATATAAAGGTAAAGTTGTATAATATGATTCAACCTCATTCAGGATATAAAAAGATGAGAAAGAAAATAAAAATTCTCATCTAGGTGTCTTAAGATACTGTTAGATTTGGCACAAAACTTTTTGTTTTCAGACAAGTCTGATACCTTTAACTCTATTTAGCAGATAAAATGTGTTACTGCAAGCAACTTTCTAAAGTAAATAAATTACTATTTGATACATATTTATATATGTTATTTGATATATATATATATATCTTTGAAAATTATATTTGAGAAGAGACCTGCAACATTATGTACACACGTTACCTCTGTATCTCCTTCCCCTCCTCCACACCCACTCCTCCCGCCTACCATTTTATGACCAAAAACCGTCACATTTTATGGAGGAAAGGCAGTAAACAGATGAGAGTTAGCTAAACACTCTCAGGCATATGGATTGTTAACATGGAGAAGGAAATTTCTCCAAACCATTTTAGTACAATTATAGTTGTGCATGGTTCAATAATCTTTTTGCAGTTTGTATTTTTAACCTTTCTCAAGGACTTTTCCCTGTGCCTGTAGCAGCAGAGATTCCCGCTCAGCGAGCCTGTGATTTTGTTTTCTTGTTCTGTAATCCTGTGGCTGAATTAGCGTTTAAATTTTCAGCCTCAAAATTACTTTCAATTTTATGTATAAGAGCAGGGAACATTAGGCAAGATGACAAAAGAGTTCAGTCCATTTATATCAGACACTTTCAAACTTAAAAACACAACTCTATAAATTTGGCTACAGGTGAGTCTATAAACTCTTGAGGCCTATTGACATATCCCAAACAAAATAACTACTTAAACATTTATTTATCGTGTGCCTCCTATGTTCAACACACCATGCTAAAGTGTTGCTATTGCTCAGAGTGTTTTTCTTCCTTTAAAGATTTAAGGACTCCTGAAGAATGTGGGGCAAATTCCCCAACCTAGAAATGGGACAAAAATTTAAATTATTGAGAACATTGATGGCATTCCAGATAAGAGAGATAAACAATGGAGTAGCTCCTTGCCAAAATTTTCTTAATTCATTAATTCAGTAATAAGCATTTAAGGACATAATATTAAAGACGTGGAACCATCAAGTTCTGATTTGTGCAGAATGACATAACTTTGTGTCCTGTTTACCTTTTCTAGTTCATTTCAGATTTATTTCCAAGATAAAAGTGTTAGATGCATATGACTCAATCTCTGTTTTGTTGTAATGACATTTTCAAGCCTTTGAAAAAAGGCCCTTGTCAACATATCAGTCAAATCTATACTAATAGAAACATAGTATAAAATGTCACTTTTTTTTTTTGAGGAAGATTAGCCTTGAGCTAACTACTGCCAATCTTCCTCTTTTTGCTGAGGAAGACTGGTCCTGAGCTAACATCCATGCCCATCTTCCTCCATTTTATACGTGGGACGCCTACCACAGCATGGCTTTTGCCAAGCAGTGCCATGTCCACACCCAGGATCCGAACCAGCGAACCCTGGGCCGCTGAGAAGCGGAAGGTGTGCACTTAACCACTGCGCCACCGGGCCGGCCCCTCACTTTTTTGAAAAGAGTAAAGTATTGAAGCTTTGAGGACTCCCACCCCAACCTGGCTGGATGTCAAAATAGCAGCCCAAATGCTCCACCCATGGCATCAAAATCCAAACCCAGGATTTAGCAAAGCAAAAATAAGATTGCGGTTTTACACTGTATGCTTCAATGCTTAGGAATAGCTAGTTAAAGGCTATTTTAATAAGCATCTAGAATCAAGCTTTTTCCTTTTCCTTTCTAACTTTTATGCTTATCTCTTACATACTTCCAAAACACTAGAGGGAAATTATCAATAAAATATTACAAAGTTAATTGTTTCATTGAAGAAAAAGATTTATACAACAACATTCTAGAAAAGGAAATAGCTCTTATCCCTTCCGAACTGTTCACTTTTCTTCCCGTCTTGCTTGTGTAATTTTTTAAGGATAAGTGGTGAGCACCTTAGATACCCTAGGCTTCCCTAAAATGAATCAGAATTCAACGATAGAACATCAGTTATACTTCCGCTTTACCTGGGTTAGTTTATAGCACTGCTCTGCAGTACATTCTGCTTTGCTAGTTGGATTACTCAAAGCAAAAATAATAGGCCGTTCATTGAAGGCAGCCATATCTTTGAGAATTTGTTCTGAGAATGCACCACCAATTGCAGCAACTCCTAATGTAGAAATGAGAAACCAGTGAATAGGAATTGGTTCATTAATCCAAGGAGCCCACGTCCAAAAACTGATGAGACGTGTCAGGTCATTTTGTAATAAACCCTAAACAAAACATAGAACAGTTATATTAAAGTGACAAAATGAGACAAGTGTGTCAATGCCAACAATCTGTAGGGTTACAAATCCACAAGCACCTATTGAAAAATAACAGATATAACATTTGACTCATAATACATTGAGTTAGTGACCAATCACTGGGAATTTGATTGCAGGCATTTATATCAGTAAATTAAATGTGTCCAGTGTAAATTCTCTCTCTATAAACAATTCTATGAGTATATTTCAGTCTCTCAGGCTGTAAAGTAATTATGTTTTAGAAATCAGTGCTAACACTTAAGACAATGTCCAATTCAATTGTAAAACTGAAGGATGGCTCATTGAAAGAATTTTAACAGAAGAACAAAGCAATTAGCATAATGGAATAAAAAAATTAGAAATATTCCTGATAGAACATATTTTGTAAAAAACACCAAAAAAGGCTTACTATAGTTCCTGTCATGGAGTATTTGTTTTTGTTACGGTTATCACCATTATTCTCAATATTGTTATCTGTTTCACAAGAGCTTCTAGAAATGGAGTATGATACAAAGTAAGGGCTCACATTATATACACACAGAATAAGGGATGAAGTCTCATAATTTCCTCTGAGTTTTTTCAGCCACCTTAAGTTTGACCATATTAAACATCTTACTGCACACATGGAACGTGGAAGCTCCCGTGTTAAGTGCTGTGATGAATATGAGGATGTGTGAAATATGGTCCCCATCTCCAAGGGAGGTCTAGTTCAGCGTTTCTCAGCCTTGCCACTATTAACATTTTGGGTGGGATAATTCCTTGTTGTGGGGGCTTTCCCGCACATTGTAGGGTGTCGAGCAGCATCCTGAGCCTCTGCCCACTAGATGTCAGTAGCCTTCACCTCTCCGGCTCCCCAATCTCTGACAACCAAAAATGTCTCCAGATGTTGCCCAATGTTCCCTTGGGGGTCAAATAGCTCTCATTTGAGAACCATTGTCTATCTGCAGTAATTAAGCCCGGAAACTACTGAATATGCCAGGTACTAATAGGTTGACAGAGGCAGCAGAGAGGGCCACTCACTTCATTTGGGATCAGTAAGATTAAGAAGACAGCACCGAACTGACAAATCTAGTTGTTTATGAGGCACTGTTGCTTCAGTGAATATGTACTTTTGTTTGTGAATTCTAAAGGTTAGAATTTCAAAAAACTAAATAATGTCTCAAAAATCAGTAGTAAGAAAACCAATTAGGCCAAAATGGGGTGGAGGTGGGGTTTACGGGAGAGAGGGAAAACAAGAAGTTTACCTATGAGGACGGTTGGTTTTATTTCTTGAACAATGGCTTCTAGGTTCTTCATTTCTTCATGTTCATGGGCAAATTCCTCTTTCTCTCGTGTTAGGGCAGCACGTCCCTAAGTAAAGCAAATGAGAAGAAACGATAAATCTGCCAAACATATGTGCATCAAAGAAATTTCAGAATATTACACATATTACCAGAATTTATGCATAACATTTTTATGTATTAGGTGTTACAATCTTTTCTCCAATTATCAAAGTATTATTTCATTCATTCTTTCAATAAATATTTATGTCTTAGACAATGCTCTAGGCTATGGGTATATAACAGTGAACAAATAAAGTCTTTCCCTTATTTATTATTTAATATTAAAAATCCTAATTCTACAGCCATTTGTGAGGAACTGGCATTAACAAACAGTAATGCAAAATGTCATGTAAATAAAGATACTGTTACTCAACATTATTTGTGCTAATATAGGAGTGTCCTAGAATGTGGAGTTGACTTTACCCGCAGCACTCCCAGTTGAAGAAGATGGACTGGATGCCAGATCTATATCATAGTTTGATTTTCTGAATAAGCGCTAGCTTTATATGTTTTTATTTTTAATGTTTTGATTATGAATCTGCCATATGTTATCTAGGAAACATCTAATTATAATATTCTAGCTGCAAATTTTTAAGATTTTTACTAAGCTTTGGGTGGTGAACATGATGTAATCTACACAGAAATAGAAAAAGGTAACAATGTACAGCTGAAATTTATATAATGTTATAAACCACTGTTACCGCAATAAAAAAAAGAATAACAAAAAACCCAATTTTGACTACATAATAAATCACTACCTAACTTTATAACGTCCTATATGACTCAGAAGTTGTTTTCACATATTTCACTTGATCCCCTCAACAACTCTGAGAAGTAGGGCAAGTATAATGAGTCATTTTGTATGACAAACCAGAGGCTCTCAGATGTTAAGTGACTTGCCCAAGGCAGGTACTTTCAGTAGAAACTCGGTTTTTCAATAACATAGCACATTACAGCCCTGGAGAAAAAGCTCAAATAGTATATGCCAGATTGTCTGCCAATTGATAATCCTGAAAATGCTTCAATTTTCTAGTTTTAAAAGGTTATTATAATTTTATTTATTTTTAAAAGTAATATACGAGTCAGCATCATGGTGACGTGAGACGCTCCCTTAGTCTCTCCCTTTCAATCTACGACTAGTAAAACACCCATAACTCAACAAAGGTTCCTCTGCCCAACACACCAGGACTCTGGAGAGATCCACACATCTGTACATCTGAAGGTGGGTGGACTGGAATACACAGAGAAGGCGGAACTGGGGGATCAGTGGAAGCAGCGCCCACGATCCCAGCCCCCTGCCATGGCAGCTAAGCCACAGTCCCAGGGAACTCGGTAGCAGCAGTAGAAGCAGCGCACATGACTCCAGCCTCCTGGCCGCAGTGGTACCTGTGGCCACAGGGAAGTGGGAAGCAGTGGCAATGGGCCCCACCACCCCATCCCTCCAGCCTCGGTGGCACTTGCAACTCTGGGTTCCCCTCCCCCCATGCACTACCCCAACAACCCCAGAGGTAGTGGAGGTGCCAGAGACCCCGACCCCTACTCCTGCTGTGGAGGTAGTGCCCCTGCCCCAGGCAACCGCAAACGTGGTGGAGGCACCTGTCATCCCAGTGCCCCTAACGGCAACACCAGCAACCACAGCAACACCAGCAGCTGCAAGGTACCACTGACCCCAGTGGCATAAGCAGCAATGAGGAGGGTACTGGCGACACCTCTGGTAGAGGCGATGGAGGGTGGAAAGTGCCATTTCTCAAATACAGCCAGAGGCAGCTCAGGTCAAAGAAACCAATACCTTGTGCTATAGCAGACACCTCTTGAAAACAAAACAAAGGACTCTAATTAACTATCTGTTGAATTGTTGGACTCAAAGTAAACAGAGCTGTACCTAAATAAGAAAGGTGTTCACTGCTTCAAATCCACTAGGAGAGGACCAACTCAGCAAGAACCATGAAAAACCACTGTAACATGATATCACACACACAAAAAAGACAACACTCCAGAAACCCAACTTCAAGTCATGAAAGATTGTGATCTAACTGATAAAGAATTCAAAATAACTGTCAGAAAGAAACTCAATGAGCTACAAGAAAGTTCAGAAACGCAGTTCAATGAGCTCATGAATAACATTAATGAGCAGAAGGAATACTTTATCAAAGACATTGAAACTCTAAAAAAGAATCAAAAAGAAATTCTGGTGCTGAACTCAATAAATGAGATGAACAACACAGTAGAGAGCACTGGAAATAGAGCAGACTATATAGAAAAGAGAATCAGTGAGCTGGAAGACAGAAATCTAGAAATGATTCATGTAAAAGAGAACTAAAATTTTTTTAAAAATGAAAAAACTCTATGAGAATTATTCGACTCCATTAGAAAAGGTAACATAAGGATAATGGGTATCCCAGAAGGAGAAGAGAGGAAGAAGCGGGCAGAGACCTTATTTAAAGACATAATAGTTGAGAATTTCCAAACCTGGGAAAGGAATGAGATATACAAGTCCTCAAAGCTAACAAAACACCTAATTATCTCAGCATAAAAAGACCTTCTCCAAGACACATTACATTAAAACTATCAAAAGTCAATTATAGAAAAAGATTTTTAAAGACAGCCAGGAAAAAAAAGACAGCAACCTTAAAAGAATCTCCCAATAGGCCGTCAGCAGATTTCTCAACAGAAACTACACAGGCATGGAGAGAGTGGACTGACATACTCAAAATAGAAAGATAGAAACTGTCAGCCAAGAATATTCTACCTAGCAAAGTTATGCTTCAGATATGAAGGAGAAATAAAGGCTTTCCCAGACAAAGAAAAGCTGAGGGAGTTCATCACCACAGACCTGCCCTACAAAAAAAATGTTGAAAGGAGCTCTCCTACCTGAAACAAAAAGGCAAAAGTACATATATTAGAGCCAACAGCTTCCTAAGAACAGAATTCACCATTAGTCATTTCTGGGTTCTAAAAGGTTATTATCTTACCTTTTTTTCCTCACACATCAAAACATACTACATCTAAGACACTGTGAAAAACAATCTTATTAACACTAACTCGAAAAGACACCTGCACCCCATGTTCACTGCAGCATTATTTACAACCGTCAAGACATGGAAACAACCCTGTCTTGGATGGGCCCTGAAGGTATTATGCTAAGTAAAATAAGTCATACAGAGAAAGGCAAATACCATATGATCTCACTTATATATGAAATCTGAAAAACAAACCAAAAAACTGAACCCACAGATACAGAGAACAGACTGGTGGTTGCCAAAGGTGGAGGGTGGAGGCTGAGAAAAATGGGTGCAGGGGGTCAAAAGGTACAACCTTCCAGGCATAAAATAAATATCCTGGGGATGTAATGTTCAACATGTTGACTGTAGTTAAGAATACTGTATTGTATATTTCAAAGTTTCTAAGAGAGTAGATTTAAAAATTCTCATCACAAGAAAAAAATTTTGTAACTATGTGTGGTGGCAGATGTTAACTAGAGTTATTATAGCAAATATTTGGCAATATACACAAACATCAAATCATTATGCTATATACCTGAAACTAATATAATGTTATACATCAGTTATAACTCAATTTAAAAAAATCTCAATTAATTCATTCAGAATCAAACTTTAAGCTTGCTGTTTTATATTCAGTTCAGGAGAGACTATTCTAGTCTCTAGTAATATTAGGTTGAATATTGTCAGTCCATACTCTTGTTCATCATGTTATTAAAGAAAAAAATTAGTCAATCATATAAATTCATTTTCCACTTTTATCAGGAAGCAGCAAATTGTTCAATAAAACCTATCTACTATAGCCTCTTTAGAATTAGTCACAGATCTAACTGGACTGATTCTGTGAGTAAAGACTAAACATTCTTAAACAGTTCTTTTGTATTTATAAGATTTTAAAAAATTGCCTGTAATAATATAAAAAAAAACTATGACAACACTGAAATCTTTACAATTCTCACTAAATTGGGGTGGGGAGGGCTACCAGGTGCTCCCATCCTCACCTCTCTTGGCTTTACAGCTGGGAAATTTATTTGATTTACATATCTCAATCATAGAGATTAATTAAGCATCATCTTAACATGTAAAACGTGGCTAGGCTTAATGATAATTTATCAGTTGCAAATAAGAAAATACAGGTATTTGGCGTGTCACAGAATCCCCGCAAATATTTTGAGAATTCAGATTTTGACTTAAGCCCCAATTTGTCATCATCCCTTTCCTGTGTTATTGTTTTTCGCAATGTAACTTCACAGTTCCTCTCACAAAAAGCAGGGTATACTTTCCTACCCGCTGTCTTTGGATTTGAGCAAGTGGCTTGGCTTTGGTTAATAAAATGTGAGCTGAAATGAGAGTGAGCCAGTCCCAGGCTTAGGCCTTAAGAGGAACTGGTGCTTCCACTTGCTCTCTCATGCCTTGGCCATTTGCTTGAGAAGTGCATAACCTGGCTAGTCGGCTGGTCCAAGGAGGATGAGAGCCTTGTGAAGCTGACCTGGACCCAACCTGTAGCTCACAGCCACCCAGCCAACATCATCAGGGCTACCCCATCTGACCCACAGGTGTGTGAGAAATACATACTTATTGTTGTATGCCACTGAGATTGTGTGGCTTTTTTTTTTTTTTTGAGGAAGATTAGCCCTGAGCTAATATCTGCCGCCAATCCTCCTCTTTTTGCTGAGGAAGACTGGCCCTGAGCTAACATCCATGCTCATCTTCCTCCATTTTATGTGTGGGATGCCTGCCACAGCATGGCTTGATAATCAGTGCATAGGTCCACACCCAGGATCCAAACTGGCGAACCCTGGGCTGCCAAAGAGGAGTGCCTGAACTTAACCACTATGCCACTGGGCCAGCCCCAGGATTATGTGGCTTTTGATAACAAAGCAATAGCTGACTGATACAGGGGAGGACTTTAATTTTGATTATATATTCCCCCATTTCTTTCTGCTCAGTGTACCTCCTATCTGTTGCTTGGGAATAAAAGATTACTTTCCCTGAAATGATTTGATGAAAAGAATGCTCTTTCAATCCA